GTATGTTAGCAGCAGACCCACTTGACCCTTGAGGTCCAACTTCACCAGTAGAGTCTCACACCCGACAAGCTCCGGAGCAGGGATCCTACGAGGTACTACTAGAGACTCCCGGATAACAACAGCCACACCGCCACCCCTTCTCTGGGCTCTCGGCTGATGAAGCACCTGAAATCCTTCTGGGCACATCTCTACAAGGGGGACTCCTCCTTCTGTGCCCAGCCAGGTTTCAGTAATACATGCCAGGTCTGCCCTCTCGTCAGAAATTAATCAATATGTATTAACTAATATTAGAAATAAACATATATCTATGATTCATTATTACAGGAATTTTTTTCTTCAATATTGCTCTCTGCAGTTTATAAGAAAAAAGAATTTTGATATCATGGTTTAATCTAGCACATCTGCATTGCGCAACCCCACCACAACAAAAACTGCAAAAAATGTGTTTTCACAGTAATTTTTATAAATTTAAGCACTTATTTTACCAGGAATGGGACTGAAATAACTCTAGAGATGATTTCCCCATGTAAAAACCTAACTGCTAAATTTGAATGAAACTCAAAAAATGGGTTATATCAACCCAATTAATTCAAGTTTATTTTTGCATTGTTTTAATGTTATATTTTGCTAAGCTATTAATAAGCACTACATAGTATAATGAAATAAAAGATCACAGGATCACAACCATACATAAATTAAAATGATATTTTCAAACCTTTAAAAAAACCAAAAGGTCTTTGATCCGTCTCTCCCACCCAATAAAAGAGCTATTCAGCAAACATCCCATAAGGGAAACGCCCACAGTTTTAACAGCTTAATTACTGTAATCTGCAAAGGATGACCAAAAATATTTATATAATATTAGAATGCTTATATATTTAAACTATATAGAAACTGACTGAGATCTTTGACAGGCCACCTGCACTGCCTATAAACTTACCTTGCAGATCTTTTGAGCATGTGCTCCAGATAAACTTCCCCCAAACACAGTAAAGTCCTAAAAATTAAGATCAAAGTAAAATGTTTTAAAATACAAATATCAAAATAGCCTACATGTAAATATGTTTAGACAGAAGAAACTTGCTAATTCCATTAGACAGTGCTAGATCAAACCCTAAATAGTATGAAATTGTAACATTATTCCTTACAGCATTCTGAATAAGATGTGGGAGCAAAAGCAGTACATTTGGTGCAAAAGCAATACTTTTGCTCACAAATGTATTTTGTGAAAAATCACAAAAACAACACTTCAATATATTCATAATTCAGAAATCAAACAATAATACCTGACTGAAGACGTAAGTCAGTCTGCCATTTATTCTACCCTGGCCAGTAACCACACTGTCCCCAGGATACTGCAAAACAAAACGAAGTATAATTCATAAACTGACATAACTTATGTAAACCAAAGTAAGCAACTCTATAATATATATACTACACCTTGATGCTTTAACAGTTCTATTTTGTTATGAACCCAGCAAATTATGAAATGAGTAAAACAGAATGCTAAGTGGTGGGGAAAATTATTCTTCTAAATATCTCTCATTAAATCTATGAAATATCTAGAGAATTATTTCAAATGCATAGAGAAAAGATAGCTCCATTTGCAAAGAGATCAGAATCAGAGCACTAAATCAGCAATTGTTTCCCACTCACAAGGAGTCCTGGAATTTAAAGAAACAAGCAAACAAACTATTCAATACCTTGTTTTTCTCAGACTCCATCCCAAAATCTGCACATCTGTGTTCCACAAACATGTCATATTCTACAAAACTGTCAGGGTCCAATAACAATAACACACGTTCTCTGGCTGTCAACTTTCCCTAAAAAACAAGAAAAAACATTAAACAGCCTTGTTCTTAACATAACAGCATATTTTATATAAACGTTTTCCACATTGAAACTCAAAGCTAAGCATAGTAACACATATGCACTCAACAGTGACCCTCAATTTATGGTCTCATTCAATTTTTTCTATACAAAACATGATAGAACTTTTCTCACACGATGCAATAGAATGGTTAAGTACAAAAAGCCAGCCAAAATAAGAAATCTCACTAATTTTAAGAGCTGTAAAGCACTATGAAGCTGTATATAAGTCTAAGTGCTATTGCTATATCACATAATGCATTATGTGACAGACTAAATCTAAGGAATATAGAAAGAATGTGTGCAAAGTATTTTAATCTGTCCTTGTGCTGATCCATTCATGACATACTAGACACATGGCAAACTATTGGCTGCTCTTCACATTGGTTAATATTCAGTCAGACAACTTATATAGTTTCTTTAAGTATGTTGGAAGAAAAGAAAATAGATGGTTCAGTCAAAGTTGAAATTAATGCAAAGACTACACCTTCACATCCTCTTGCAAGCTCCATGTTACAGTGGATGGTGGCACCTAACCAACTCTGACTGATCTTGAAAATCCAAACAGGGTTAGATTGGGATGGCAATCCATCAAGAATTAAAGTTAAAGGCCTGACTTAAAAAGTTTAAAGAAACATCCCAGAAAGTGGAATATAAAGCCAGTTTTAAAGGCCTGACTTAAAAAGTTTAAAGAAACATCCCAGAAAGTGGAATATAAAGCCAGTTTGTTATTGCCATGATATAACATTGATGTGTCTATGAAGTCTCTTAAAGTTAAAAGTAATTCAAAGAAGAATTGACTTAATCTTTCTGAACAATTAAAAAAAAACAAAGATCCAGCACAGTAGAGGTGTTGTACCAGGAACAGCAATTATTGGCAACATCCTAGACTCCTTTGCCATATCTTAAAGATAGTCACTTCCTTCCCCTCTCCCTTTTTTTCTCATGTAAGAACATTTTTTACAAAATCAGTATTTTAAAGGACATTTTTTTAAATCAATATTTGGCCTCATCAGCATTGAAACACTGGACAGAGTGCTAATTTGCACAACCAAGTTGCCCCACTCATTATTTCTCAAAGCCGGAAATGCATTGTGTCATTCTCTAACCATCCCAAATCCACTAAAAAGGCAATTTCCATTGTCTTTCCTTGGTACACAGAGTTTGTATCTCCCCAAGATTGCTGTGCATTTCATACATTGCACTTCATTTTACTGTAGGCAAGCACTTCCACTCTAACTGGCTGGCTACTGAATGCTATTAGCAGGAATGACTCCTCCCCTCCAATCACTGGTCAGTGCCTTTCACTGCAATTTTTCACAGGTTGCTGTGCCCTTCTCAAGAGACCTTGACTAGTAACATGATTTCTTTTTCTTCATGGAATAGGTGGTTAAAGTGAACCTTTCAAGTTTCCCCCCACTCATTTCTCCCCTTCATCTTTGCTCCCAGTTGTGTTTTGTTATTTTCATTCCCACCGGTTAATTATTGGTAGGAAAAAAAACCAAAGTCTGTCAGAATAAAAGACCAGGTTTATTTATTACATGTTTACTGATGGAACAGCGAAATCAAGGTTTTTTTTTTAATTTTAACCAGGTGAAACTAACACAAATTTTGCTTGTTTTCTTTCTAGTTAAAATGACAACAGTAAAATTATCGGGTTGTATTTTTTAAATTTGCCTATCAATGGATGCATCAGACAGAAAGATGTGAATCAAAAGGAAATAAATAAAAATAAATAAAGCAAATAAAAAGGGCCCATACAAAATGTCAAAACAGGAGTACCACATTTCCTCAAAGAACCTCCTGCACAAAGAAAAGTAATTGGTTTGTGCTCTTCCAGCACAGATGACAAAAGTAAAGAAGCAGGATATCTATTGATCTGGAGACATAGTAAGGCTAGCTCAGACAGAAAGTTACAGTGTTATTATGATCAAAGAAGAGGAAGAAGTTAATGTTTAGAAAGGCATTTATTTAGCCAACTTCATTTGCAGTAAGTTTACATAAAAGGAATCACAGGGGCCAGTATGAAAAATCCTAGAGCTTCTGTTCTTCTGCATCCCTCACAGGAGAAAGAGGGAGGAAAAGAGATGACAAATTAAGTAAAATAATCTTGTGCACTAAGAGCAGTAAACATACTTTGCCTTACTCAGGTACTTCTCATTCACCTTCATAAGAGAGGACACCAAGAGTTGAGGAAACAGGAAAGACCAAAAGGTGTTTATGTAGTTTGGGGTAAATCATAGTTAAGTGTTACATGCATCCATTCTATCTCAGGGAACGATCTGCCAGACACTTCTGATCACAATAGCCAGTCTGTGATCAGCACCTGCTAGTCAAAACGTTTTTTTCTTCAATCAACAAGCTTTTGCTTGGCTAAAATGATTAAATAATCTCATGTGTTTTACATGAAAAACTGTTAAAAGGCAATAATGTTAGCAGCCATTACAATATTTACTTAATTTAATTTTTATTGCATTTCCAACATTATGTATCTCCAGTTCCAAAGTAAACTGGAAGCATAATAAAGGGGTATTCAGAAGATTCTGCAAGGAAGCCCATCATACTTAATGACTCTCTAGCCTTACCAAGCAAGCTATCGGTTGTAGGAGTTGCATTCATTCTGAGAAAGGAAAAATGAAGTCTGGTGGATCACTGAATTCATTCAATTAAGACTGAATAATTGTAAAATACAAACAAGTTCAATAACTGCTAGATTTAGAAATCGGAATTTTGTAAACACAGCAGATGGGAAGGTGGCATCTTTGGACCTTTTCCTGACCTCCCCTACACTAGCTCCACAAACTGCTAACTGCAGCGAAGGAATAGACGGGGGCGACCTGCTTTCTCGCACCCGTAGTTTTCATTAAATAGAAAAAAAATCAAGAGACGACCCTGACACTGCGGGGGAGAACTCCGCGGCTGCGGCGGTCGAAAGTGTCGGATTCTTTTCGACCTCGGTTGGATGGCAGGAGGAATTGCCTGAGGGGGCTATGGGTCATTATTTTGCAATGCCCCCCCAAGTGACCGCCTCTTAGCCCTGGCCAGACGTTGCCTCGGAAATCGCTGGCACGGCACACCAGGGAGCAGCCAGCGGCCACTGGCCACGCAAGGGCTTCGCTCGCCTGCAACGAGAGGAAGGGAGGCGCCAGCTCACCCGCTTGTGCTGCGCGTCTATGCGAGCTTGGCCGCCTCCGAGCAACGCAGCGCGACGCTTCTCTTCGATTCGCTCGGGCACGGTGACGGCCCGGGTCCGGGGGTCGCTGCAGCTAAACGAGCGGCAACCTCTCCGCAGAACTCTCGAAAGAAGGAAGGCAGGAACCACCCGCAAAGCAGCCATGACTGAGCGGACTGGGAAGGCGCATGCGCTCTTTTACTCCTGACGACGGCCGCCTCCTCGACCCCGCCTCGTTCCCTTACGGTGCGACCAGCAATTGGTTTGCTTCGCGCCCTTCGGGCTCTGAATTTGGAAATTAGCTAGAAAAGATGACGGATTAACACCTCAGAAGATCCTAGCTTTTCCAACGAGTGGGCTTATTCTCATATTCTTCCCAACCTGACCTTCTCCACGTGTCGGGCTTCTCCTCCCTCCACTGCTCAGAGGCTGTGGCGGACTTTTGTGCTGTGCAGCGAGTATTGCTACCGTCTCTGTGATTGTGATTATCAATTGACAATTGACAGGGCAACCGTAATTGCACGCTCGGAAGGACCGTTTGTCTGCAGAAAGGACCGTCTGATTAATTTTGAATCCACATTGTGTGTGTTGGGAGAAATATTGTGTATTAACTTGTAAAAAAAAAGCTACTGAGACACACCGTATTGGTAGAAGTATAGCAGTTCCTAGCCCAGGGTTGGTCTCTGGTCTTCTTACATTCGTGACTTTAGATGTTGTGGGCTAGAGGACAGGACTGGCAGTTTCAAAGAAGAAAGGAGAAATAATAATTAAGCTGTTCACGTTTTCTTGAAAAAGGCCGTGTTTTCACTCATCCTGGGATGCAGCTTATTTATTGAACGGATGATAGTTTCTGGGTTTGCATAGCATATGTAAAGCAATCAGGGTCGGGCATGTGTGCGGCATGTCCCAGTGATGGGAAGACGTGAACATGACGTCAGAGTGTGTACTCTGCCCATGTGTACACGGGTTCTTTTATCTGAATGTAAGTACTTAAATTGCAGAATTTGTGTTGTGATTGTCTTAGGTTCCCATCCTAGTGTCTTAATGGCTTTGAACCACAGTCTTGGAAGGAAAGCTGTATTTTGTTTTCTTGCTATATTTTCCAATCCATAATTTAAGGTGATCGTTAAAGAACATGCAGTTAGTGGCTATTCGGAATCAGGCCACCCCAATGTTGAAATCCCCTCCCATGGAGCCATTCTTGATGTCTTAAAATGCCCGGCCTTGAATTCTTGTTCTTCAAGGCCACCTAATAATGTGCTAATTGCCATTGTGACCTTTTTTTTAAAATAATTTTTACATTTTTCTATTATGTTACTGATTATCGTGTTTATTTAATAAAATGTTTTTCTGTATGTTTTAGTGCTTTGTTTTAGTTTATTGTTATATTTGTAATTTTTAATAGTAAATCATTCTGATATTTATTTCAACAAAAAGTAGTATAGAAAAGTTTTCAACAAATAATTTTAAAAACAAATGTTTGATTTTACCAGTTTTCAAAATCACTTGTTTGCATTGTATTGAGAGATTAAAATCTATATATGTGGAAGAGTAAACCCACTGAATTCAGTGGTACTTTTGCATAAACTTAAATGAATAAGGCTGTTAATAATTGATGAATAATTGTATATGAATGAAGTAAATGACAATCAAGATGGCTTTTTCATGTACAATATTTTGAAGGTTACATCAATCTTTAAGATTATGCTTTTTCACAGTGATTCAGATTAATTGCCTTATAGCACTTTGATATAATCCTGTTGCTTTTGGTGAGACTCTAGCTAGAGAAAAGACTATTTAATTATTCTATTCACTTATTAACCAATTGACCAGGTGGGACAAATCAGTAACTCTCTTAAGCACTTTTGTTTTCCATCTCAACAATGTTGAATTCAGGAAAGTCCTGCTATTGATGAAAAGATAACATCTCAGCTAAACATATGTTTCAGTGCCGGAATAACTAGTAAAAGCAATACTGATTCCACTCCGCAGTCCAAAATGAAGGTGTTGTCAAATGCCCTTGAGCTCTGCTGAGCATGCTCACTTTACTCTAATGTCTTCAGTGCGTTTGATTCTTTAGTTGTATTCTCCTTTTCTGTGAAGGCAGATGAGAGAGTAGCAGAAAGATCTACACTACAGTTTCAGCATATATCCAGAACGGACACCATTTGCTCTATTTTTGACTTTCCAGTTTAAAGGCAACAACACCCAGGTCTATTTTCGATGAATTTAGAAGGCAGAAATGGATATACGGCTGAACATTGCAGAGCAGCTTCCTTATCCTTAACATACTTGGCCTTTGGTTATTTTGTTATACAACACCCTCTAACAAAAGGTAAAGGACTATTTTTCCAATTTTGATTTCATTCTCCTTTCTCTTCTTGCATTACAAATTTAGTTCCTAGATGTCACTGCATGTTTATTTAAGCAAAATCTTTCTGTTTCTATTAATGTGCATGCAATTTTAAAGTGATATCTTTCAAATTGGAAGGATCACAGAGAATTATCATAATTTAAATAAATTGCAGTAATCAGCTAATATAACCTAGAATTATGTTCCATACGTTATAAGGAACGTCATGTTTCTGTTATTTGAAGAAGCAATGATAAGTAAATCAGCATAGCTTAGAGTGTATCTTTTCCCCTTCATTTTAAGTTAGTAGAGGGATTATCATATTTTGTCTTTATAATTCTTACTTCTTAAAGAATAATGTCTATGGAGAATATGGAAATGTAAAGAATAATCTACATTCTTTCAAGTAGCCATTGTAAATATACAATATTGTTTGTTACTTACCCTCAATGTAGTTACATATATTTAATAATCCTAACTGTGCCAAAATATGTTTAGTGGCACCAACTGAACTATTTTATACAGACATAAAAGCTGATTTATATTCAGATTCAAAGCAAAATTATTTCTAATTAGATTTTAAAAACCCATCAGATTCAATTTCCTAATTGAATATTTGGAAGCATAAAAGTAAATGTAGATGCATCAAGAAAGATAAATATCAAGTATATGTTTTAAATTGTCTAAATTAACAGTTTGGTGAAGTGGTTAAGGCAGGAAGTTAGAAATTGAGATGAGTTCTAGTTGACCTTGGGCCAATCATACTCTCTCAGCCCTATGAAGCAAGCAATTTCAAGCCACTTCTGAAATCTTGCCAAGAAAACTGCAGAAGCCTTTTCAGACAGTTACCAGAAGTCAATACTGACATGAGGGAAGGCCCCCCCCCCAAAAAAAAACACCAGAACATGCATTTACTATGATGAGACAGATTCTTCCCTTACAATTGATTTACTATATTGGATTTTAGAACAAGACATTTCATTTCTTCTGAAAATACTTCAAATTATCTAATATGGTAATAGAACACTAATGAATTAGGATTATTCTACATAGTCAGAATGTGCAACAATTTTATCAAATATATAAATATGTATTTGTTTTTCTTTGCAATCAGTCCTTCTTATTTGATGAAATGGATTCTTCCAAGCAGTATCCAGTGAAAAAACGAGTGAAAATTCATCCCAACACTGTGACAGTGAAATATAGTTCTTATTATCCACAGTCTGGAGAAGAAGGGTTTGAGGAATCTAGTGAAGATCATGAGAGTTTTACAGAAGATAATCCAAAAAGAAGATTGTTGAGTGATGGACAGCGAACAGGAAAGTCTTTCTTTGGAACAATTGACATTCCATTGCAGACAGGACAGAAGCTAGAAGTCAACAAGAATGAACAAGGCCAAGAATTTATAGGGGGAAGCATTTTTCAGTCCAGAAAAACTTGGGCTGTTCTTTTTGGATCTGCTTTGGCCCATGGTTGTGTAGCTCTGATAACCAGACTTGCTGCCGATCGTTCCAAAGTGCCATCTCTTGAATTGATTTTCATTCGTTCTGTTTTACAAGTGTTTTCTGTTTTAGTAGTATGCTACTACCATGAAGACCCTTTTGGACCAAAAGGCCATAGATTGCGGCTATTCTTCTATGGAGTATGTAATGTTATTTCTATTACCTGTGCTTATACTTCCTTTGCAATTGTTCCTCCAAGCAATGGGACTATTATGTGGAGAGCTACCACCACTGTTTTCAGTGCCATTTTAGCATTTTTACTAGTGGATGAGCGCATGGCTTATATTGATGTAATTACTGTAGTGAGTAGTATCTTTGGAGTTTGTTTGGTCATGATCCCCAACATTGTTGATGAAGAAAATTCTCTGTTGAATATCTGGAAGGAAATCTTTGGATATACAATGACAGTTATGGCAGGCTTAACCACAGCTCTGTCCATGATAGTATATAGGTCCCTTAAAGATAATGTCAGCATGTGGACAGCATTATTTACTTTTGGTTGGACTGGAACAATATGGGGAGCCTCAACTATGTTTTTCCTTCAAGAGCCAATAATTCCATTGAATGGAGAAAGCTGGGGCTATCTCATTGGCATCTGTATATGTTCTACTGTGGCTTTTCTTGGCGTCTACTATGCCTTGAGCAAATTCCATCCAGCATTGGTTAGCACAGTGCAACATTTGGAGATTGTGATAGCCATGATTCTTCAGCTTCTTATACTACACATCTTCCCCAGCGTTTATGATATAATTGGAGGAGCTGTTATCATTATTAGCATAATTTTCCTTGCATGTTATAAGCTATCTTGGAAAATCTTTAAAAAACAAGATTACCAGGAAATATTAGATTCTTCTATTAAATGAATACAAAATTAGTGTATTTTTATGTAGTGCAGTGTGCAATTAATATGACTGTGTGTGTATAGTGCTAGTAACAGCATACTATGATTTGTTGTTCAGGTACATGACATCAAGTCAGTCCTAATACAGTTCAGTACAGTTGTATGAAAATATCTTTTTCAGATATGTGAAAAATGTTTTAAAATGTGAAAATTATGAAAATCATATTCTTAGATAGTATATAGAAAGTGCCAAAGATTGATATAGACAGGTTTTGCTATGAAAATGGTATGTCTATGTAATAATCAAGAACTAATCTCAGTTCAGTGGAGTCTTTATTTTTTTATCTTTGGAATCTAGAAAATATAATTTTATTCTGTGTTTAAAATAACACAGTAATCTTCGTGTGGAATAGAAGTAAATCATAACAATCTTATTCCTTTACTGGTTACAGAAACAATTATATAGAATTTGTCTTTGATATTTGGCATGTGGTTCATTGTTAAAGATAACATATGAATTGTGTACCTACAGTTCTTCTTTTAAATAAAATGTAGTAATAATGAGCAAGTTGGTATTTGAACCGATGAATGCAAATTACCATTTTAGGACTTAATTCAAGACCAGAAAAAATGTAATTGCAAAGGAAAAAATGAATATGTAGTCCGAAGATATTTGATGTTGTTAATGAAAACCATGTAAACTTTGTAACATGTAATATTTTATTTAAAAAATGTTTGTGTGTTTAGGATTACAAATTTACAATTATCAAATATTTGACATAATTATGTGGTATGAATAATTCAAACACTTGGATTATTCTGATTGTGATTATATGATTCACGTGACATAACATGGCTGACCTTGTCTGTGCTCAGAAGCTAAGTTGGGCATGGCCCAATTACCGTAGTTTTGATGGACACGACTAGCAAATACCAGAGCTATAAACTGAGAAGTCAAAAACTATCCCTGAAACTATTTCCACACTGTTGCCAAGAAGTCATTAGCAGTTGAGCTTGACTGGAAGAAAGCTTTTACTTTACCTAATACTTACGTTATTGTAATTCCAATACTTCAAGTCTCTATTTTACCCCATCTGAATGTTTTTGATTGTCTGTGTGTGTAGTTAAAAATATCAGCCACATATTCTCTCACAAAAATACACAATGACCCAGAAGTATGGGAACTAATTCTGAGACCAAGTTACCTGAGGCACCTGAAACAAATTTCCACTGAAATGCCAATTCTAAAAGTATCAAAATGGAATATCCAGCAAATGGTATGAATCTGGATGTCTTTTTTTTCTTAGTACAGCCCATCACAAATAGCAGCCTTATTGAGTTTAACTGCATCACTGTCATAAAATCCATTTTCAATCTTTAAAAAGAACCCTGGAAAGATTTTCTCACAGGCTTCAGATGGAAAAAGCAGAAATATATTCTCATGTATCTAATGATGAAAAATTATTCCAAAATTCTAAAAAGTGTAAATCATATGTTCAGAAGGTATGGCAACCAGGCCTTTAAAGAATTTATATTAATTATAATGTTAACAATTTTATTTAGTTTTCATGTTTTATATTTTAACTTAACTTGAAATATCAGACATATTTGTAACTTGTTCATTATGCAAGAATAGATTAAAAACTAGAATAGTCAAGTAATTAAATAATTTCCTTTTTTGCAGGTTACAATATCCATCAAGGGAATTAAAGCAATTTGAACTGGAGTATCACCAGTTCAAAAGGATTAGACTGTCTTCTAGATTAGGTAATGTTCCAAAGATTATCTGGATCCCTTTCAGTCTGGATTCAGGCCTGGCTTCAGCACGGAAACTGCTTTGGTCGC